ACCTGGTAGACATGGCTCTTTTTTATTTCTCTCCCCCGCCTGTCCCTTATTTTTCTCACCATCTGGTCTAGTCAGAGCTCTTGAACTGGAAAGCTTGAAGCTAATATTTTATTAGTTAACCTAATAAAGATGTCTGTACAGATTAAGAAGGAAGAAAAACATATAAAAGCCATGAATATGGATTTAATTATACCTGATGAATGTGGGATTAAATAGCAAGCATGCATACTTGATTTATTTCAGATTTTAGCTTATACCAATACCTTCATAAGATCTATTAATGACAAAACAAAAGCATTGGATGCCCCCCCATTTTTGAAAATCTTATTAAGAATATTAAAATTATTGAATAAGTAAGTTCCCTTCTATCCTATATCTATATTATTGTCCCCTCCCCTGCTGTTTTGTTTTTAAGGGGAAAAATAAAAATTAGGTCCAGTTGTAATTATGCAGTTGAGGCAACTAATCTGGCTCTCTTTTTACAACCCTTTAATCCCTTAGTTCTTTGGGGTAGGATCAGGGCGACTGGATGGGTAACAGACTAGATCAGTGATGGCTAACCTTTTAGAGAGTGCCCAAATTGCAACCCAAAACCCACTTATGTATCGTTGGGTGCCGGGTGGGTGTGGCCCACCCCATTGGGTGGGCATGGTTGCTGTGGTAACAGCAGACTGGGTGGGACTAAAAAGTTCAATCAATTCCAACTTTGCGAGATCTTTTTTTTCCCTGCGAGTTGAAATTGATTGATTGAACTTTTTTTTTTTGCACACGGCGGCGGAGGCCTAAAGTGAAAAGGTTTTATAAAACCCAGCTGAAGGCCTAGGACTGGGGTGACAGCACGCGTGTCCACAGAGAGGGCTCTGCGTGCCACCTGTGGCACACGTGCCATAGGTTCGCCACCACGGGACTAGATGGATATAGTATCACACATAAGAAACACAGTTCATCTTTTTTGTGCATTAGACTAACACAACTATCTCAGATTTTTCACATATAAATCAAATAATATTCCATTTTTACCTCCCCCCAAAAGGTGATTTTATCATTTGATACTGAATAGGCAAAAGTGTCAAACTTGTTTGCTGACTAATTTTCTATTACTTATCTTCCTTTAGACATATCATTTTTTTCAACTGAATTTGACATCTTTTTCTTCTGTACTGCATTGCGTATATTTTGAAGGGGATTCTTCTTTTTGCTTATTTGAACTTTTCTATTTAAGCTTAAATGTGTAGTCCTCTGGAAATTGCTTCCATTATAAACTAAATGAAAGGACCAACTTAGTTTTTCATTTTACTCTCCTAGCTTTAGTGAAAGCCAGAAGCCTGACAAATGTAGAGACATAGTTGATCTTTAGACTTTGGCTCTACAAATAGAATATGCTGCCACCTCCAAATTCTTCTACTGTTGAAGACAAGTATTTTGCAGCTGGAGGACATTCTATTTTCAGTATTTTTCATGAAGTTAAATAATTATATAAATGTTGTATTGGGATTCAATACGCTTATCCTCTGTGTATAATTTAGAAAATCAAGCAGAGATTTGTACTGAGGTAATTCAGAGAGTTTCAACCAAAGACTGGCAATGCAATCAACGTTATGCAGAAAAAAGCTATTAGTACAAGCAGAATCATAGAAAGGTGGAAGCCCTGCTCTCTTGCTCTGCCATGCTGGATGAGGATAGAAGTGGCTGGAATTGAACCCTAACTTAATGCAACAAATGTTAAATTTGTTGACTAACAAAGACACATACATGCATTTAAAGAATCCATGAAGCAATTCATTTAAGGCATAAATAAGCAGCAGCTTACAGTGAAGTCTCCTTAAACAAGCTGACTCGTTTTCAAATAAAGTTTGTTGAGCAGCCCTAAAGCCCAATTAAAAGTTAAATTTTAATAGTTGGATCTAACCTAACATCATCAAACCAAGTGGCTGTTTGGCACCTAATATTCAGAAGAGGTGACAGCTGTTTTCTATACTCTGAAACATATTCAAAAATATTGTCTTTGGCCACACCCAGTTTTCTGCCAAAAATAGTTGCGTTATTAAAAAATTTCCCTTGGACATTACAGGTGGATGAATAAACTGCACATTCACTAAAAAGAATAACTTGCAAGTGAAAAGACAATTTGATAAGTTATAGCATAGCTTTCTGAAATTCCGTGATAAACCTTTACATCTCTCTCCTAACACTGTTTCATAATTACTTCTTTAAATAGCAAACGCACTGCTTACCTGTTGGCAAAAATGAGGTAAAGTGAGGACACTGATATACAGAAGGGAGGTGTGTGTGTGTGTGTGTGTGTGTGCACGTGCGCGCGCTTGGAGAAACTTTGAGGTTTGCAGAAGTACAAAACTATTACAAGACCTTCAAGAGGGACGTTATTTCTGCTTGATAGCAGCCAAAGGACAGGGATGTTCAATGATCACGGAGAGCTATGGAATGCAGAGTTAAAAAGTACAATGAAAGATAGGATAGGATCCTGAAGTGGCTGGCTGAGCCTTAGCCCTTGAACAATTTATTCTAGAAAAAAGGCAGAGTTAGCTTTTACCCAGAATAGACTCCCATTTGGGATAAATTGGGGAGGATTTCTGTACTGCAACATTTTCTTACAAGTTCCACTTCTACATTACTTCATATCGATAAGCAGAGTGTTAGATCCCCGTCACTTAAATGTGCTTTGGGATATTTGAGAACTTAAGGCAATGGCACAATCCTGAGAAAAGACACAGAAGTTTTAACTACTGCAATTGGTGCTTTCACCTTTAAAGATTAAAGAGTTGCATGCCGGTACTCCACATTTATTTTAGAGAGGAGAGAGGAAGTTACATTTCCAAGTATCAGACTTCCTCAAAACCCATCAAATATGTTGATGTCAACATTTCTAGAATTACCACTAAATACATTTGATGAGTTTGAAGTGCAGAAAATGTCCTAAAAATTCAAAATAAAGCAAATTCAATTATTTTTAAAAGAAATGTTAGACTTAAGTGCATTGCACCATTACAAACCTGCTCAGAGGGGGTGCTCTCCAGACATACAGGACCAAATATCCTATAATTCATAGCCAGTGGGCAATCAGTTGGGGAAGGTTGCACTACTCTACTCGATATTCAATTACAAAATAGTAAATAATCAGAAACCTCCCTTATTCTTTCCCCCTCCCATTCTGCCTATTCTATCCTAAAGTCTCGGGACTGGGCAAATTCTTTCCGAAACAAGAGAAGGAAAAGCAATCTTTTTACAGCCTTCGGCTTTATTTTGTTGAAGGAAAAGTCTTCATCAGGGTCCAGTCCAAGCCGGGAATAAACAACACGGCGACTGCTTTAGAAAGAAGCTTGCAGTTTATTGAAGAAGAGAGCTAGACCAGTGGTTCTCAACCTGTGGGTCGGGACCCCATTTGGGGTCGATC